GGAGGGCAGGCCGGCCGGGGCCGGAGCCACCAGCCACACGCTGGCCCCTGGCTCCGGGGGAAGGTACCTCCGACCCCTCCCAGCCCCGCTCCGGCCCTTCCCGGGCAGCAGCCGCCCACGGGTGCCCTCTCGTGGTGCTCCCACGCACGGAGCTTTCACAAAAGGTACTTTTTCCTCCCCAATTTCATCTTTTCTGCGCACAGGAGATGCTCCTCCAGGGCACAGCACCGGCTCTGCCAAACACCCCTCATCCTGCCCGCACAGGGCTGCGGTACCAGAGGGCTGATGCTCAGGAAGGCGCCGGGCTGCATCGCTCTGCTGCCGCAGTGAGCCGCTGGCTCCCAGGCACTGCAGGATTGGAGAATTTTTTTTTAAAAAAAGAGAAAATTTGACATTTAGAAAGCCCAGGAGGTGCAGGTAATGCAGCAAGCTCCCTTGCCTGACTGGAACAACCTGGCCCAGATTTAGTAGTTTGCACCAGCCAACTGCTGAAGCGGAGTTTTCCTTCCCCAGCAGCAGGTACCACCCGCACCAGGGTAAGCTCCTCATCCCCATCCCACGCAGCCGGGCTGGGCACGGCCAGGGAAAGCCCTCACAGGGGCTGAGCAGCCCGCACCCAGGCACTAGGTTACATTCCCCGCGTGGGAGCTGCCAGCCTCTCCTCATCGCAAAGCCGTGGCAAACTCGATGCTTCCGCCAGTGAAAAACAAGTGGCAGCGGCTGGCGCTGTCCCCCGGCTCCGCCAAGCACGGCACAAAGCCACCGAGCCTCCCCTGGACGAAGTGCCAACTGTGTCAGGCTGCCCGATGTTGGACGCACAAAGGTTCTCCATTAGGAACTCGCCCCCCACTTTCAGCCCAGACCTGAACTCAGCCCTCCAGTCCCACCGCTCCTGGCGCTCGAGCCCTCGTCCATCCCCTTCTCCAGGCCGCCCTTAAGCCCCATCGCTAGTTTCACACTGCAGGTGTAATATTTTCCAGGATTGGGGACACTCTTTGCTTGGGAGGCTGATACTGGGCAGTGGATCTCAAAGAAAGCACACACGTTATCTTACAAAGGAAATTTATTTCATTTTATGAAGCTTATATTACATGCATCGACTGAAGCTAGTACAACAGTTAACAGCCAGGCTGGGGTTCCTCCAGACTTCCCTTAGTGTTTCTGGAATAAACCAAGGCCAAATTAAAGAATCGTTTGCCCTTAGAAAATACAGTCATAATACAAGGAATGTTTTTTTTCCTGTTTTCACTTTAATTACTCCTCCCCTACTTCCTGCCCTCGAGATGCACATAGCCAATGCTCCGGCTTACCAAAAAAGGAGGCAGGAGAGGAAAATCTAACACACGCGCACACACACTCCCCCCATACACCTCTAAGAAACCACTGAGATGGGAGGACTGAATCTAGCTCTAGTCAGAGAAAAAAAAATACAAACAGAATGCCAGGAATAAAGCTCTTGCAACAAACCAGATGCAGTACCCTTTAATAATCTTGCCAGATAAAAACGTCTTACACGTTGTTCAATGAGATGCTACAAACTCCTTTTGATTAGCTCTCTTTCAGTTTTATGGGTTTGAACAAGCAGCTGAATACACCGAAATACTGATGTCTGAAAATAAAAATAAAAATATTGCATTCTTGTCAGTGTCTGTTGGATATTCTCTCATACCCGCCAGAGGAAGGTGTACAGTGCACCGGAGATCGCAGCCTACTATAGGCTTAATATCGAGTACAGATACACAGAAGCAGATGTATTCATCAGATCGGGCTGCGATGGCAAACGTCAAGCTGGTAGGTGCCCGTTTCCACGCAGACAAGACTCGCTACAACGTCCCCGTTCAGTCCCCTGTCACTTGGGTGGCTTGGCCGTCTGAGGTCTGGTTGGTGGACTGAATGAACATGGGCTGGGTGATGTCCTGGCCTGCAGGCATGGTCACTTGCTGGATCTGATAAAGTTGCTGGCGGAGACAGAAGCAGGAGAAAGAAACAACTGTCAGCTCTCATCACACCCGGCGCCAGCTCCCTCCAAGCACAACGCTGTGCATTAACCCTACAAGCTCACTGGTGGCGTTAACGGCAACTCTTAGGTCCAAGTAAAATTTGTACAACCTCCCCCCGCCCCCAAGAAAAACAGACCATGAATTGCTGCTGGACATTTGCTGCTAAATAGTTAACACAGTAATTCTGTGAATTTCCGATGCCCAAAGTGAGCTCAGGCTACCCATGCAAGGCAATGGCTAGATGTAAAGACCTTTATTCCTAAACTGGTTAGGACTAAAATGGATCCCACCCAGGGTGCAAGGGACCGGATTAACTCGGAGCAAAGGCAGCAGAACACGAAGAATCCACCAGAATTAAGACTGGCCCAACAGCCACTTATCCTGCTCCTGGTTAGGGTTCGCTGCAGCAGCAGCGTTTTATCGGGGGAAGCAGATTTCCTAGAACGTGCAGACTTCAGGACAGTCGGCCCAGCCCTTGGCTTCACAGGGACATAGCACCAAGAACTCCAAGCTCTCACCTGTCCGTCTGTGAACTGGCTGAACTGCTGCTGTCCTTGCTGGACTTCTGTCTGCGTTATCTACAAGGACAAGAGAAGGATGGTCACCGAGAGCACTTCGGAAGAGGGCCAGAACCCCACTACCACCATTCTGCTGCTGCCTCTCAAGAGCTTTTAGACCCTTTCAAACTTCATTACCCCACCGTGTGGTAAGACACGGCTTACGCCGCCGGCCCGCAGTCATGCTGGCGCTAACCGCAAGTCAAGAACAAAGGACACGGGAGTCAGCCGTTCCAAACCAAACACGAGCGTGTCCTCCCTGACTTTCGTGAGGAGAACACGCCCTCCAGGATCACAGCAAAGCAGCAGCCTTCCTATCCTCTGAAGGCCGAGAAGAATCCCTCAGCGACCAGTCTCAACAAGAACATGAGACAACCTGCTGGCAGCAACCCTGGTCTTGATGTTTCACCTCTGCGAGAGCTTTCCTGAGAGGTTGCACGGCTGCTCCTCCCTCACCCAGCCAGAAGGAGCAGAAGTAAAGAGAAGGTTGATGAACCGAAGTTTTACCTGCAATCAGCTCAGAAGCAGCGTGAGCTTTATACAGCGAGACACACGCGCACACACACTTACACATATGCATGCACCTTTCACGTACAGGTCAAGGAGGCTTCTGCAATGCTCCTTGCTCTATTATTGTGATGAAAGTAACAGGAAGAAAAAAGAAATGCAGGAATCCTAGCCCAAGAGGTGGGAAATTCGACTGGAATTCACAGTCTCAGGAGCCAGGGAACAACACTTTACCAGTTCATGTCAGCCCTGCTGTTGTAGCGCATACCTGCTGTGCATTGGTTGCAAGCGTCTGGATCTGCCCCTGGACTACCTGGGTGCCTGACACAGGTTGGGCTAAGCGGATATACTGCAGCTGGCCAGCATTCAACTGAACCTGGAGACAAGCGGAGGGGGCAGGGAAAGAAAATTAAACAGATAACTGTGTAACCTGAAACACACAAACTTGCCTTCTTGTTTCCACAACAGAAGCCAGAGTAATAGATGACACCGGGAAGCTTCAGCTGATTAACAGTTCAGATGAGTAACTACCACAGACCCTGCCAAAGCAAGAACGAAGTCCACAGAACTCCTGCGGGTTCTTGAAGTAGAACCCCGAGGAAGCACAACATTACTTCTTTCTCCAGGACGGGAGTGGTCAGTTAGTAGCTAAAGCATATTAATTGCTAAATTTCAGAGAGCTTTGAGAACACTTGTTTTTCTTTCTGGTTACGAGAACTGAGTTACGACTTTGACGTATCATTTCACATAAAGAAAATCGTTACGAGCTAGCCGCACATCATGACACTCCTATTAGATCCTGCCCAAAATATTAAAGAATATATGGGAAATTTTCACATAAATAAAGACAGCAGAGATGACAAAACCCAAGGATATATTTGGAAGCTTTTAATGCAACTCTCTGCCAGTATGTCAACCCCCACCTGGCAAAGGCCGGTACTTTCTGTGTGTAACATTCAAACGTAAATTTACTTCCTACAACCCTGATCTGGCGAGGTTAGATGCTTGGGGATGTGGGATACGAAGACAATGGTCATCATCGTAACCTGTGATCTAAACAGCCAATACTGCTAATATACAGCTGAGAGGCAATAAAAAGGTCACAGTATGATTGATACTAGTGTTGCATTTTTCATTTTGTGCTATTTAACTTAAGATTCACGGTCTTAAGGTTAATTATACACAAAAAATGTTTTGGAGTTTTCTTCTTTTTAAGAAGCGGAAAGAAGGAGGTACAAAATACTTCAAAAACTGCTCACTGACAAGGTTCAAGTGCCTAGAGCACGTCTTGGCATTTACACAAATGCCACTGACTTCACCGGCTGTGTCTAAAAGCTCCAATATTATTTCAAGAGCAAATAAACTCCACACGAACATAAACATTTCAATAAAGAATTTGTTTCTGCACTGAGATCTGCCAGCAGATCACGTTTTCCACACTGAGAAAATCCTGCTTAGATTTTAACTACACGACCAACCGAATGGGTGAAAGCGATTTAGAAAGAGCGTTCTTCCAGAAATGAGAGTAAGCCCCAAAGAACCTGCCCCAACGAGGTCTACCTAAGGCACAGATTAAATTTAACACAAAATTAACGTGGACAAAAAAGTGATTGCCATTTAATTGATGTATATGCTTCCTTCCAGTTTCTCTCAGCCTATAAAAAAATAAGTCGCCTTTCCCCAGGCAACCTGCGGTCTTAGAGTAAATGGTGACTTGCAGCAGAAGCGTACACGGTATCAGGAGCACGTGGAAGACCAGTGGAGAACGTTAGTAAGACACTCTCAACGCTCCTGCAATCGCCAGAGGCACCGCCAGTTTTACAAGAGTGTTTCCAATCGTCGTATTTGTGTTATGAAAGATTCTTTGCTGAACCCTAACAGATACCGGAGTGAAAAGGAGCTATGAGAAGACAGCACTGACTGTACCAAGAGAGAAAGGAAACTCAAGGGGAAAATAAGAAAAGCACAGCAGAAAGAGAGCAGAAAGGCAGCAGCATTGAAGAGACCAAGGACCGTAATTCCGTGAAATCAAACAAAAGTGCTTTCTGGGTTAGGGCACTAAAAAGCCCTTGCAGCGAGCGCGTGGCTCCGTGCTCTGGAAGCGAGCAAGGGGAAAGATGCCTCCTTCAGCACGAACTGCGATTCTTCAACACGCCGTCATTAAGAAAAATCCTCTTATTTACATCAAACCAGTATCTCTGCTAGATACAGAAGGGCGAATGGAGACCATGCCATGGTAACGCTCCTCCCAAGCTGCTCTGTGTTGCAGCCCTACAACCGTTAAGAGACCCAAGCGCTCCCAAAGACAAGACACCACGCTCTGGCACTTGGCAGTTTCTGTCTTACATCTGCAGCGTAAGAAGCTTCTGAGGACCAGTCACAGCTGCCTGTTCTTCGATGCTCCCAGGCAAGAGGAAGGTGGAAGCATACGCTTGGCCAAAACCAGACACTAATTAAAAAGCCTCCAGCAGTCCCACACTCCCAAAACACAGGACCACTTGCAACAGGATCCACCTATGTGGAGAACAGCACTTTCTGCAGAAGGTTATGGCCCCCTCACAACTGCTTCATAAAGAATCCTTTTTCCTAGCAGATCTCCAAGCCCCCTTCTTGTAGGGAGTCACAGCATTCACTGGAGACAACTGGAAAACAAGCCTGAACTGTTCTTTTATTGCTCAACCAAAGGAGGATGCTGCAACATTCAGTACTGTTGTAATGGATTCACTGAGGCTGGAGCTGCAGATCTTCTTCCAAAATGCTTGTGTCTTGGAGAGACTTTCACAAGGAAAGGAAGGCAGGGGAAAAAAAAAAAAAAAAGAAGAATGTAAAAGAAAGGTAGTGGAGAATGCAGAGAAAAAAAAAAGGTTGCTTGTAGTAAAACACTGTATCTGGGAAAGCGATTCACTTCCTTTCTGATCACCACCTTAAGCCAAGCAGAAGGAATCAGCTGAAGACTAAAGAGATGAAAAGAATTTGGAAGGGAGTTGGAAAAAATCTGGCGACACCCACAATCTAAACCTTTTTCAAGATGCGATGTCAAAGCACGAACATTTGCCAGACGTACAGAGGGAAGCTTAGCAAATCTCGAAAAGCAAAACTTGTGTGAAAGATCAGTTTTGCCACAGCTGTGGGTACACTTCTTAATAACAGAAATCAAAGACAAAGTGAAATGCTCGTCTTGGTCACTTGGTCTGACCTTTGAGTTGCTGGTTAAGTACATAGAACTGGACAGAACTTTTTTTCTTTTCTTTAAGAGGTGTGAAATTTTCCAGATGGGAACCA